CTCTCTCTCTCTCTCTCTCTCTCTCTCTCTCTCACACACACACACACTCTCTCTCTCTCTCCTCTCTCTTCTCTTTCTATCTTATCTATCTGTCTCTCTCCCCATTTGATTTTCATGTTCATTTTCTCGCCTCTTTTGTGGCGGGCGGGTCCCGCGGGAAGCGGTTGGCCCGGTGCTTGAACTGCTCGTCCGTCACCTGTGGGGTTGAAAATGAACATTGACAGGGGGAAAGTGGCGCAATCAACACCACTATTGTGGCAGCCGTACGGTGAGTTGGTTCTGTGCACGGGCCTCGAAGGAAAGCACAGGCCCAACCGGTAGACAGAGGAGCAACAGACGTCGAATGCATGTATCGGCGTTCTACACCGTCGCCCCGGTGGTCTAGTGGGTAGCCTCGCAGCCTGCTAAGGACCAGGTCATGGGTTCGAGTCCCGGCAGAGAGAGTTTTTTTCTCACTAAATAAATCCTGGTCTAGGATGAAAGCGACGCGCTGCAAAGCTCGTTTGTTAGTAAACCATAATCGACTTCGACAGTCGCGAGGGAAGGGATTGCTGTACCCTTCTCGCGATAAAAATACCTCAGGCATGAACCGCAGGAGGAGGTCCAACCCCCCCCTCCTATGTGACCCCGGTTGGGTCGTCTAGCTAGTAGAAGTGGAGGATAGGGGCCAGAGGGGCAGACCGGATAGGGGCCAGAGGGGCAGACGACAGAGTCCGATGATGGGAGAAAAACAAAAAACAAAAACCGTCGTGAAGCGGTTCCAGCTTTGACGCCTTGCCAACGGTGTGCCTGCCGTGGAGCGCATGTGTCGGCTAGTCATTGGGCGGCCAACAAATAGTACCAAGCGGGGAAAGATGGACTGCGCGCATTACCCTAGGTTTGGTTGACTCTACAACACGAAAAAGCACCACGTATAATCCAAGCAACAATATCCTAACCCTCATGTGACTACAGTGCCGACAACGTTGTCTGCAGGAACGTCGTAAACACGCATGGAAGTATTTTGTCGTTGGTGTATCATCCCTGCCGCCGTGATTCATGAGTGTGCACCTTCGCGATGCTGTGCTCACCAACAAGATTTTTGAGCCGCTTCTCGAGGGGAGGCAAACAAAACAACAAGATCAACCCCGTCATGTAAGGGTTAACAGTCTTGTGAAGGATAATCATCCCACGAAAGGTTTCAGGCATGAAAATCACTTCACCTCCTCAGCGGCCTTGGCTCTGAGCTCGTCTATCCAGTTGTAGCCGACTCCGTCGCTGAACTGCTCCTTCTGGCGGTAGAGGATGTGCTGGGGCAGGTAGATATCCTCCGGCGTGTCGAACGCCTTGCGCATGATGTACTTCTCGATCTTGCCCTGTTCGTTATTTTGTCGTTGACGGTAACGAGACGTCACACATGTTGTTTTGTCGCTGACAGTCAGGAGACAATGCACATAGCACCAAAGGTTTATTCATGAAAAAAAACACCAACATTTCAGTTGCGAATGTGTCGACATGTCGTTCCTTTCAACCCGGGTACGTCGGATATGTCACTTCAGAAGAGGTAAGTTGCGGTCTACCGCAGAACAGACAAGACTACAATCCAAGCGCGTTTTCTTCACTAACCACACATCCCAGACCATCGCCCAAGAGGCAGCATGGCTTCGAGGATGGACTCATCGGTCGTGGTCCTGTGGCGGAGTATCTCCATCTTGCAACAACACATCGAACCACGAATCATGGAAGTAGTTCCGTATTCTCCTGCAGGATTGATAATGGGAACGCCTCATCAGTGGCGTACGCCAGGCACGCAACGTAGTGGTTAGCAGGCGAAAAACGTTTTCATCTGCCCTCTCTAGATCATGGCTTGTTGCGAAAAAGCTGCTTTGAAACTAGACGTTCCTAAACACATGCAATGCATGGGAGGATGTGTATGTCCACTACGGTAATGTTGTCCTGAGCTCTTGGCTTGAAGAGACGAGCGGAGAACCTTGGGCAAAACGTTCCTCTCGAGAAATGCAGAGCAGCACACAGTATGCATGCATTGAACATCATGTACAACGTACCTTCCCGTTGTAACCATTAAAAGTCTGGGTAGAGAGATCAACAGGATGCATCCGTTCCTGGTAACCTCGTTCGCTTGCCTAGCCATCATGGGCTTCGAGCGTACCCATACAAGTTTACGTACACTGCCCCGTTTGAACCATGCAGCCAGCCGCTAATACAAAAAAAAAATTAAGCATGTTAGGCGTAGACCAGTCCAAAAAAAATACAGCCCAGCCAGAAGCGGCCTATTGTGCTACAACTTGCGGGGGGGGGGGAAACCGTGGCCTGCACCCCTCAACAAAAACCAAGCGCCAACAATACTACTTGACGCAAAGCAAAGAAGTCGTGAGTGACTCACGGGAGCAACCATCTTGTCCTCCGGGTTGGTCATCATGGCCTCGTCGATGAAGTCCACGTCCAGGAAAGGCACGCGTGCCTCCACGCCCCACGAGGCGGTGCTCTTGTTGGCTCTCGCGCAGTCGAACTGGTGCAGCGCCAGCACCTGAAACATGAAACATGCGCGTGAAACGTGTCAAAACGGAGGTTATCTACTAATTCATGTATTGACGAGTAACTCGCGGGATAAGATTGCGTTACGTAGAAGCAAAGAGTCTGACTTCTGGGTCCAGGCGGAGCGATCCGAACCGCGCGAACAAGTTGATCCATCGGGACAACACCAAGAGGGATGGGAGACTATACTACTTGATTTACAAACTACAGGAGCGATGCAACACGGCTACGGGTATACGAGGTGCCACGCGGTCTTCTGAGTATATCTATCCCATAGAGATATCGAGGTGGAAAAAATCAAAACGAAAGTCACTGCCACCTGGCGGATTTCTAATTAGGAATGGTATACCGAAAGGTGGAGACTGGCACCAGAAAGAAAGAATGAAAGAGAGAATGAAAGACTGGCACCCCAAAAACACATCAAGAAAACAAACACGCACATTTCTGTTTCCAACCGCACTGAGACTGGAGAACTTTGTATGGCCAGCCGACTAGCGCCGTCGATGCTGATAGTAAGAACAACAGAGAGCACACACATTGCAGAGCCTGGTGGTTGATAGGGGAGGGGTCTAGCGCTTTATTGTACTGTACTGTCCCGTTTTGACAATGTACCTTGTCGCGTGTTTCCTCGAAGAACTCTTGCCCGTTGGGCGCCTTGTGGAAGTACAGGTACCCACCGAGGAGCTGCGCCACGGAAAAATGCAAAAGACACACATGACAAATAAGAGCTACGTCCAAGGAACGTACAGTATCAAAAGAGCGCATGACACAACATGCCCGCACAACCAAATTGGCATACTGCATACTGTACGAAGAGCGCCGAAGCAGGTGCATGATCAACAACAAAATCGAATCCAAGTGGTCCCGAACGCTACCGCAAGTGTTCAATTCGAGTACAAACGGCAAGACCACCAGTCACCACCCCTTTCATGCGGATCCATGTCCTTGTCCGGAAGATAGCACGACACATGTTTCGTCGTTCAAGCAAACACAAGGTCTTGTTGCGAGCATTCATGCTGGAAATGGCGGCCAATTTTCGAAAGTGTCATGGACCACGAGGTGGGCATACCTCGTCGGCTCCTTCCCCCGACAGCACCATCTTGACCCCCATGGCCTTGATCTTTCTCGACATGAGGAACATCGGCGTTGAGGCCCGGATGGTGGTCGTGTCGTACGTCTCAATCATGCGTACAACCTGCAAGAGGGAGGAGGGATTGTAGAGAGTTGATTGTGAACCAAGCCAAAGGTCGTGCTTGATCATGAGTACAAAGAGTAGAACCACCACCGAGACAGTAATTGCGAAACAAGCCAATATGGTGAAAATCGTTTGCCTGTGCCCTCAAGTGCACACGCGTGCCTAACAGCTCGAACTCGACGTTGTTGTCTGATTTTTGTACTTTACAGACGAGATGCGCTTTTGGTTTCCGGGCGTACCTCACGGATGGCGTCCAGCCCTTCTTGCACCGTGTAGATGTAGCTGTGGTGAACCGTGCCGAGGAAGTCAGCCACTTCCGTAGCGGCCTGCACATGAAAAGAAGGTACGGAGGAAAACAAAAACAAAAAAAAGCACACGGAGGAAACGAAAAGCGAAACAAGGATAAACACAAGGCTTACAAGCTGCAAATAACAATGTCTACAAGGGAGACAACACGAGGAATAGAAAATGCACGCAGCAAAGGACACCATGGAAACAAGGAAAAAGAGGAATACTGTATGTTAACATACGACAAAATAGTAAGCATAATGCTTTCTAGATGAAAGGGGGAAAAAACGATGGACAGTGTGGTGGATTTGGTCTGTTGTCTCTGCCTCTCCAGCTTCAACACTTTGTTCACGATCCAACAACCGCCGGGGGGGTAGAACACGCCCGTCAAAACATGCACTTTGACACGGTGTATGAACCCAGTCTGTCTACCCGAGACAAATTCGGATCTACATAATACCCGAGTCGAGCGCAACTCCAGCACGCCTTCCTTCCGACAACTCAAGGGAAGCGTAGCTGACTACACTCTTCGTCAGGACAAAGCAGATGATACGGTTTCCCGAAGGGCACCGTTTGGGATGGGATGGGGTGGAATGGTGCCTATCGGTGATCCCGTTGCAGTGGTAAATTCACGTAATTTACCTTCAATTTCTGCAGTCGTGCTACGACATCATTGCGGTCACAAGACGCAAGCTACACATGCAGCATCAGAGCAACAAGAGGGCAGTACGGCCCAAGACCCGTCATGACTGCCTTGTCCTCACACCTGCTGTACTAAATCAATGTCAACAAACAACCCGCCAACCCTCGCCTCCACCTCGTTTCTGCTGACGCCTACCCTAACAATTCGTCAGCTCAAGACCGAGCGAGGTCGACAGTCTTCTATGCCGGTAGAAAGATATATATTCCAACATCGCCACAATCGTCTCACACGAAAGTGATGCAAAACAACATCACACTTGTCATTGTTCCGCATCATCTCAAACGTAAGGGACGTTAAAAATACATAACACGTTTCACAATGTTCCACATCATCTCACGCGGAAGGGACGTCAAACATACATCACACTGTTAGGGGTGCCAATCGGGGCGATTTTGGCGGCAAAAAAGTGACCGGTCTATTCGAGGATTTTGAGAAAAAAAGGGGGGCACGCGGATTTTTGGTTCTCAACTTAGCTCTTGAAAATCATACGATTAAAGTATGCTCGTTCTTCCGAACTTTCGTTCAAGTGGCTCTGCGTCCAGGCAGCGGCGCGGCTCTTCATACGTTACACACATCTGGACACAGGTCCTACAGAGGTGACTGTGGATTCGCTTTTTTCGGAAGTTCAAAGGTCGGAGAGAACGGCTTGAAAAACATATATTTTTCAGATAAACGCCCCAGTGCCCGACGCTGTGGTGCGTACGTCGAAAAAGCGAATCCCCAGCGCACCTCCTTGGGTTTTGAGCCACCCCACACAAAAGACCGATCGGGAATCGCATCTACCAAGAACGATTACCACTTGACAGAAAGTGGCCCGCCCCTCTACCTGACTTTTTGCCCGCCAGCGGCCCCTCGCTCAAAAAAAAACTCCGTAATCAGCCGTCACGTTTTCAGAAAAGCTCAAGGAGCGCGAGCGTGTGATGTCCCAACGCCGCCACCGCAGCACTCGAGGCTAGCCAGTTGTCTCAAGCGTGGTCGGCAGGCGCTAGTTGCATCTATAGCTGGCCCTGAGGCTTGTACACCGTTGCTCGAAAGGAGGATGTGTGACGGAAAAACCCTCCAGCGGCAGTTTTTCAACCGATTTTTGGGTCTGGGAGGGAGGGAGCATTTGTTTTGGGAGGAGGTAAGGCCCACCATTGCGCATCCAAACGAACTCTAAAGACACCGAACAAGCATGCCATCCGCTCTCGGCGCGAGGATGAGTTAGGTTCCGCTAGGATGCGGTGAAAGCAAGTCCTGGTGCGTAGGAGAGAGCACGGGGCAAAGCAGGGCAAAAAAAAAAACGAGGAAGTTCGGAAATGCACACACACGCACAGGATCTGACGTGCAGGCTAAACACAGCTCGCGAAACATGCTAGTGCCGAGCAACTGGCTAGATCTTCGTCGTGGGTTGGGTTCTCGGCCAACATGTTGTTGTTTGTCTTTGTTTTGTTGATCGCGCGGGCTGCATAGCTCATAGCTCGCTCCCCCCTTTCAAACAAGGAACCGGTCTGATCAAGTGTGATTGGTTTATGTGGTTCTCTGAGAACTTCCATCTGGAAGATCCAGGACACTTTTCGAAATTTTTTCCTTTAGGAAATTTGACCGATTGGCACCCCTAACTGTCACAATGTTCCACATCATCTCACGCGGAAAGGACGTCGAACATCCATCACACTGTCACAATGTTCCACGTCATCTCACGCGCAAGGGACGTACGTCAAACAAACATCACGCTTTCATAATGTTCCACATCATCTCACGCGGAAGGTACGTCAAACATACATCACACTGTCACAATATTCAACAACAGCTGCTGCAAGACAGGTAGACGACCTACCTTGATGTCGGGCGAGCCGGCGAGACCCACGCTGAAGGAGTGTATCCTGGGGAAGGCGCTGAAACGCCCGGAGTCAGGGTGATCTCGCACATGCCTGCACGCCACGCTCGCCACCAAGCTAGAGTCCAGTCCACCTGACAGACAACATCAAGCACCGGAGGAAACCATGAGATTGGATGACTTGGGTGTTGTCGTCTCAGGCTAGTTCACGTAGCGCTGTTGCGTGTTGTTGCCGATAACCTAGGAGGCTGGTCAATGTAGCGGTTAACCTTCAGCAAGCCAAGATCGTTCCGCGGAAAAATTTGGCGAATAGATTATGGGAGTCGTGTGAACCGTGGATTCGCGGATGGAGAAAGAGGTTCACAAGAGCGGTCCATGGAACGGTTCCCTCCACAAGGTGGGATGTCATCGGCGCAACATGTATATACCGTATTCCTTCACGGAAGAGGTTTACGGAAGCGGCACACGGTTCGCTCGATCGCCGGGGAACATCCGAAAGTCTCTGGGTTGTAATATATCCGGATGTGTATGGATTCACGGAAGCGGCCACCGGAAGCGCTTGCGGAAGGGGCTCGCGGAAGCAGTTGTGGAACCATCCGCACTTGACAAGTGGGAAATACTCGACAATCAGGGCGCGGTTAGAGCAGGAGAACTCCATAAGCTACCAAGGTAGAGCGCAGTAATTGGAGGTATTCTTCCGTTCCTTCTCTCAACGACCGTGATGCGGAAACACCCACTAATCGCTTTCCAGATTGCTTTGGAAGAGAACCAGAAATTCATCCCCGTTTGCGTGACCGCACCGTGATTCGAGCCCGCGTCCCAAACGCGAAGAAGGTTGCGGTTTGGTTGAGCTGGGCCATAGAAACGCGTTATCAGGGAACGGCAGGTATGCACGCTTCCACGCGAACAACCCCACACATACACAGAACATTTATTTTCACGATCCAACATGGGATGAAAAACGAAGAACGAAAAAAAACGACAACATGCCGACACATGCCAATACACACAACACACACCCATACAGCACTACGCTGTCAGTATCATCGTGCCCCACAGAACGTAACGTACCTGACAGCAGCACTCCCCAAGGCACGTCCGTCATCATCCTCCGGACCACCGCAGTGGTGAAAGACTCCCTCAGCCTCGCAAAGTCCACGCGCCGCGTCGGGTGCTGCAGAAGAGAGACAAGACACACGGCCCGGAGAAGCGAGGCGAGGGGAAGGAGGGGGGACCAAGGGTGATAATTCGGGGGGGGGCGAGTTGACTGACAAAACCCAAAGATGCAATGCATACAAGGGAGAGGAGGGGGTTCCGGCTGATCAAACGTTTAGAATTGGGAGGGGGGCGATGAGGTCGATTTGCCTGACAAGACCCGAGATGCGATTCAAGGAAGAGGGGGGGGGTCCAAGAACGATAAGTGTGGGGGGGGGGACCAAGTCAATTTGACTGAAATGACCCGGGATGCGATCCAAGGGGCAAGGGAAATGAGCACGGTCCGGGTTGTCGAGAAGTACGTGTACCTCAGATGAGGGATGGGTGAAATGAGATAAGCAATAGCACACAGAGCAACACGGGAAGGCGCATCGCATATCGGATCCAAGTGCAAGCGCCGTTCGCGACACGGGCAAAACTAGTCCACACTACGGACTCCTTGGCTTTGGCCTTTATTTTCGAGAGGACAACACATGCGGGGTACATTTTTTTTGCAGTGCCATCGTTTGACACACACACTCGTCGGCAACATCGAAAATCGCTGACAGCAGTTAGCGAGCACAACATTGGGGAAAACGTAAATAAAAGAAAAGTAGAATGTTGTTGCACGGCACGAGGTTAGTCGTACAAGCGACCCTGCTGGTTGGTTTGCAACAAAAATTGAACAACACCAAACGATCCCCGGATAGATAGGCACGCACCCTTGAGCGCCGTGAAGCGGTTCAACAACTGGACTCTCGCAGAATGGCCGGCGAACAAAAAGAAACGGCGGGCAACTCAGACCCGGTAATTTACGGTATGGAACGAGGCTGTTGACACTAGAAAACGTGTGTAAACGAAGCTTGGCATGAAAAAAGGTAGAAACGAAGCTCTATGGCATGAACAAAGGTAGAAAACGAAGTTTTGGCATGAAAAAAGGTATGCAAACGAAGCTTTGGCATGAACAAAGGTATGTAAACGAAGCTTCGACATGAAAAAGCTACCGGTATCAGGTATGGAAACGAACCTCCTTGAGGGTGCGCCACACGGGGTTGTACCACTGTGTGAAGTCTCCTGTCTTGGAGGAGTACGAGTGCCCGGGGGGAAAGGCCCTGAGAGAGCGGCATCCCTGAACCAGCGCCTGCAGTCACAAGAGAACAAAAAATAGCAGAGGTTTTACACGCACGGAGAAGGCCGACGTTTGATGACATTACGGATCGTTAGGATGGAACCCTGTGAATTACGGACAATACAACAAAATCATACAAGCAGAAGCGAAAACGGCACACCGAAGCAGCCGTCGTAGCAGCAACGGCAGCAGGAGCAACGGCACTGGCAAAACGATCACATCATCCACACGAAACGCCAGATTGCACCACAAGCCAGCACCAGTGGTGTATTGCAACAGCAATTACTCTTTGCATATTGTTTCGAATACTTGTGCCTATGTCACACGGGCGAGCTCACAAGATATATATGGTAACGATACAATGAACAGACCAGGCGTGCCGACCTTCATCTCCGAGGATATCCACACGCTATCGTCATCGCCCCAGCCGATGTAGAGAGGGATGATGCCGACGTGGTCTCTGGCGACGAAGAAGGAGTCGTCGCGCTTGTCGTAGATGAAAAAGGCAAACATGCCCCGCAGGTCGTTCAGGAAGTCGGCGCCCTTCTTCATGTAGAGGGGGATGATCGACTCGCAGTCAGACCCTGTGAGCGGCTGTTTGTGCCCCCCAACGGCAACAACAAGGACACAATACGGGGTGTGAGAATAGGGGTATGGTAGGAGTCAGAAGGTGTCATGTCAGGGGCTCTTGTACTCCAACAGCAACACCGAAAACACCCGGCTTGAATGCCATGCTGGTTGCTGAATCTCGCATTAAGCTTGCTTGTGGGTTCTTAAGGTCGCAGACTTGTTCAGGCGGCGCTTGCATATGCTACCATTTATTCGATGGCGGTTCTTTCGTGCCAAACGGGATTACCCGTTGGTGCAGACAGGCGAAGGGCAGGCGGGCAGGAAGATGTGAAAGCGTCACTACCAAGAGGCGGGCTCCGCAATCGACAAGAGGGCATGTTGCAGTGTCACCGATACAAAACAAGAAACGACGGCAACAGACATTGAACTACGGTCATCATCAACACGGCAACAGCGGCAATACCAATGCCAAGTGCACTAGGCACGACCATGGCAACAGCAACAGTCGCCACAACAACAGATAGCGTCGAGTGCGGGTCCAGCTTAGTGTGCGCACCTCCTCATCGGACAAGAGCTCCTGGTAGTTGTAGATCTCTCCGTTCGCGGACAGAATCACCTAAGGAAGTAGGCAGGTGTTTCGGATATTTTGACACGGGTGTGTGCAGCAGTAGTGACAGATGAAAGGCACGGGAGAGGACACAACCAACATGATGAGGACGTCCCGAAAACCTCCTCTCATGCCACGGGCAACAATCTGCAATTCTTACGGAGTCCCAGGTACTTCAGTACAGCAGTAATCCTGGATGGTAGGTGACATGCCGCTTCTCTGCGAATTCAGAGAGGTTTCGACAGCAGCAGTATGCATAAAGAGAACAAGGGTTCCGAGATGCACATGCCCATCACTGCCAATCCAACAGCTCCCCCCCCCTTTCTCGCGCGTGGCGCGCTTGACCACCTTGATGCAACGACGTTGTATACGTACTACAGAATACGCAAGTGCATGTTCCAAAGATACGGCGGTTTCTTGATGGGACGCTTCGTACTGCAGCACGGTCTCAAGAGCACGGAACTGCTCCCGTACCGTACTGTACACGACAACGACTGACGACTAAAAGTACGCAACATCAACACGTCGTTGGTGCTTGATCGATGCATAGATGCATAGGTCGGGTTGCATGTACACTTGAAAATACGCCTGTTGGTGGGGTATCAACGGTGGTATTTGCGTACTTGCTACTGGTACATGCCATGGTCCACTTCTACTGCTGTACTGGTGTAGGGCCAGATCGCCCGTCAACCCGCACGCACACCTTCGCCTTTCCGCTCTTCCTGATATCATATGTCTTGGTGGTCTAAGTTGGTGTCCCATGGATTGGTTGGATTGTTATTCCTGCTCAACTTTTCCAACTGCAACGGACACCAGCTTTAGCCGTACTACCAGTTGGTTGGCGCGTGACGTAGACTGTGCACAGCAGCAGGCGACTTCGAATCCATCCTCGTGCTGCTGGGCTGCTGTACAAGGCAGGTTGTTGACGTTATCAACAAATATGACACGTCTGCTAGCCAACGAGGCATACGGACAGGCAACGGCAGGTCCAGCACGGAAGGGCCGGCTCCTCCCGTTTCTTGAGCTTCCAAGTCAACAACCGCGACTGCAACGTCAACTGCAGCTGCAGCGGCCTCTGCTCACCTGCCTATCGCGAGAGAACAGCGGCTGCGCCCCGGATTCTGGGTCGATGATCGACAAGCGCTCGTGACCAATGCCGTGTTTTCGCTTCTCCGACACCGAGACGATCTCGTACCCGGACCAGTCCGGCCCGCGATGGCGAAGCCTAGGCAGGACGGTGGATGGGGGCAGAGGCGACACAGCAGCGGCGGCGTGCGTGTAGGCAGCGACGGCGCAACAGCACCTTCTTGGTGAAACACGAAGTACGTTGCACGACGTGCACACATGAACCCTGTTGTTGACGTCACATTGCGAGCCAACCAGCAGTCAACCAACACGGTTCACCAATGTAAGCAGTCCTCTTCTCGCTGGAAGCAGTCGGCAAAGGACTTGGACGGTTTCGGGCCCACGTGCCTCTGGCACATGTACACCCTCCTATACCAATACTTCTGGACAACCGGGAAAGGCAGAGAGGCAACGTGGGCATATAGCAGCAGTCGCTCATCCTCACATTTTGGAGCATTCGATCAGCTTTGATCGAAGGTCTTTCTCTGAAAGCTCAGAGCCAAAGATTCCCAGTATACCACACATGTTCTCTCGTGGCTTGTCGGCAACGCGTGGTTCCTGTGGGAGTGTGAGTCGAGGTGCTGTATGTGTTTGTAGGATGGTGCCTCGCGAACACAGAAAAAATACTTCATATATATGTTTGCCAGATCTCCGACATCTCCGCTTTTTCGCACCAGTGCACCTGGACACCTGGACGTGGTCGGCGGTTCTCTTGGCTAGGATATTGTTTTGTACATGGCTACACGGCGAGGGGGGTGGCCAGATTATGCCTCTGTAATGAATCCCAGACAGTACGCCAGGGACGTGGCAACTGCTCGCAACTGCAACGAGAAGCACGAGTTTTCGACCTCTTCGCCACTCTGATTGGAGCAAATGGAAATTACAGATGTGTACTGTAGAGGTCCCTGTTTAGTGCCGGCCGTATGTGCCCGGCACATTTACCGGCACTATACCGGACCGGCACTTTTCAAACTATTGAGGATGACTTGGAAATTCAGTGTGTGCCCGCCGAAAACATCGGGACTATTCAACCAGCACGAAACAGGGAGCTCTACTGCTCTATTGAAATAATACTTGAGGGGGTGGTTGATGGTTGAGTTGTACAACAAGTACATACAGTAGTCGGTTGGAGAATACCACGAGTTCTACTTGTACTCCTCATGTTTAAGGTTACAGTAGGGTTATCCCTGTATGAAGTATAAAGGCTGTTCACATGTCGTGTAGGAACCTTATGCCACCATTCATGTTCGACACCCGACGGTGCTAGAACCCCAACAACTTTCCTTCGTCTGGTGATTCATGTCCCCGACGCCATTCAACATGACTCAGTGTGGGTCTGGTCTGCCTTCCGACGGTCTGCCGCCGACGTTTTCTTCAGTTGTCGCCGACTACGCAGATCTCGTTCGAGACGCCAACATGAACTTTTGTCGTAGAGTCACTTCAAGTGCAAATGCGCCCTGCACACTTGTCGAACAGCTTCACGTGCGTGTGGAATCATATTCATCCTCCAACGCTCCTCGAACGTAGCTGTGGCCTTCGATGTATCTACAGGACCAGCTGTCTTGTAGGGCCTACATATACGAAACCATTTCCCTCCGTTGCCCACGTCTCTCCCTCAAGAACACCTCCTTCCCTGTGGCCAATATCATCGAGTCCCACTTCATCAGCCGTTGTCACTCTACTGCTAATCAAACCCCAATAATACTCGTTGGTTGGCCGTTGGGACAGCTGCATTCCACAACAAGTCGTGCCCTGGGCAGCAAAAACAAGAGAAAGCAAATGAAAATGCATTTGCCGACGGACATATATCTACATTGTAGCGCTCTCGCATCGTAAATACCACCGACCCTAAGAAGCTACCCGGCCTGCCCGTCCCATGGACGGGACAAAATATACACAGCCTTCCGCCCCAACGACTTCTACCGCCTGCTACCCCCGTAACCTGTCCCTCCTGGTGTCTGTTGTCGAAGGGGTAGGGCTGGCGTCACCTAGGCTAGCTAGCGAATGAGACACAAACGTTGCTCTGTGAGCAGCTAAGGTACGCGCGCCCTGCATAAGCTGGAGGTCCCTGAAGGAAGCAAGGTACTCAGCAACACGGCAGTATCGCGGTGAAATACACAAATGCTTGCACGAAGACCCTAGGCCCAAACGCATCAAATTCCTCAACAAGAGGACAGTACAACTCAACAAAGACAAACAGACACTGCGTTCATGAACGACCTGACCGTAGGTACTCAAAGGTCCGTCGAATTCTACTTACAAGCTGGCCTGGCTCGTCCGATTAGCCCTGAGTATTTCGCGGTCGACTCATCCAAAAATCTATGACCTCTAGACCCCACAATGCATCCCTGTTCGGGCTTTCGGGGCCCACATCCTGAGACGACGAGACGCGAGACCGACCGGCGAACACGAGGCCGGCGCAAGGCGAACAATCGAAGGACGAGAACGGCGTTCGTCAGGTTCATGGGCACGTTTGAGCGAAGAGGCAGCGTTGAAAGGATAAAAAAAGCCGAATATTTGCCAGTCGCGGCAGGAAGTTCTGGTATTCGTCCGAGCAGAGCCTGGTGTGGTCCCACAAGTCGTGGGTGTGAAGAAAACGTACCCACGCCCTGGTTAGATACTTCCCAGTTGTAGACACGAGGTAGGACGCCTTGATACCCTTGGTGATATTCTATCACCGTGCTTACATGATGTGTAGATACGATGTTAGGGTTGGAAAAAAAAAAAAAACTTGGTGCGGGGAAGCCCTACCAAAAAGGTGCCTCGTCCTACGGGGGCGAGGCGCTCGCACCTTGACAACGTCACAAAGCACACGATATCGCCTGCACGAGCTTCTTCTTCGCTGCACCCGCCAACCTTGCCCATTATTATCGCACGGAGCCTCCACCGCTCCAACCATTAGGACGTACTGGCCTGCCCGAAGAAGGTTAATTCCCACCATTGGAACGGCCAACAAGCGCGACAAAAGAGGCAGCAGCGTAAGCAGGTAGCAAGTAGGAGACACAACGTGGTGATACAACGGATCGTTACAGGGCAAGTAACGTGAATGCCCTAGGGGGTCGCGCTGTTGTTGCACAAGTATCGCTCAAGTGCTTGCTTCCAAATGTCTCAAGTCCGATTCATGGTTGTACTTTTTTCGTAGAATGGCAGCATGTACCACCTCTGGCGGAGTCCCATGGAACTGTTGTTCCGGAAGCTCACAGAACCCAAGTACTTAGAGCGGACTGCGCCTGCTGCTGCACTACCTCGAAATTCCACCATACCGGTGGTGGTCCACAGCACATGCGACACACCTTTCTTGGGCAAGCCGTCAGCATCACCAAAACCATGCCCTGCTTCGTTGGAGCCGCCGTCGAGTCCGACTCCGGGCACAACGGCTGCAACTGTGCCCGTGTTATCGTCAACGATGAAGCTGCGCTCGGCAGGATTCACCTCGATCACAATGCCCTGCTGGGGCACACGGAATGGGCGGAAGTGAGGAGGTTTGTAGGATGATCGCTGGGATGAATACCTGCCACCAACTTCCGGCAAACCATGGGATGCCGGAGGCTTGGGACAGCGCCAAAAGGAGACTTGTAGCAAGACCTATTTGGCTTGCCGATCCCATAGACGTTATAGCCAAGTTCAACTTCGAGTCACGCATCATGAAGTCGTCCGGCATGCATATATCATTCGTGAGCTCTCATATACGTAATGGCCAGGCATGATGGTGCGCAGCGAACACACCCTGCGGTGTACACACGCCGTGCTGTTTCATGAACAAAGTCCGTGATGGGCCTACGTATGCACAGGGCGATCATCACCGTCTCAACGGTAGACGCTGGCGTCGGAACAACTACCGAAGAAAATCGATCACGCATGCACTCCACTCAAAGTTGGGCCATTTAGTTTCAAAATGAGACTCTTGCACCTCCACGTTGCCAGCCATCCTCGTGTCATGTATCACAGTAGTTGCCTCGTTGTGAGCTTCTGCCGGCGTGCCCGAATGTGTTAGCGGGGTGATTGTACTTGCTTGATGAGCAACGCCGCAAGGTTTGGGCACAACACTGCGTGGGTGACACGCGGACAAGCCAACCTTCAATGGTATGGGTGGAATCTGGATTGAGATCTGGATTGAGATCTGGACTGAGATCTGGATTGAGCTCGTGATTGCCGGGGGAACTAATGGGTTCATCACGTTTTGCCCGTTAAACGGCGGTACCGAATACGTACGCAATCTTCAATGGCTACAACTTAGTCTACACTCGTGACGGTATCGAGGCAGATTGCTTAGAGGTCGCAACGGTTCTTCGATGAGAGGGCCATCGAAATAGCCAACGCACGAGCGCGTGATAAAGAAACGGTCATCTGCACTCTCTGGCGTTGGGGCAAGCCTGCACCAGCTGCTGCGTACCTGAACCCACACCCGAGTAAACTCAACGCCCATGAGGACTAGCCCCACGAGGTTGCTCTCTTCCAGACCGTTCAGACTAGCGGCTTCGACGGGCTGGCGGGCGTTATTCAGCTGAGAGACGAACAGTTTCACGGCCGGAATCTTGCGGTCGGCGTCCCCCATTGGCGCAACAGCAGCAGTAAGTCGTAGCGCTGCCTTGCCATCGGTGTGTATGTAGTCCACCGCAGGGGACACGAAACGTTTGTCCCCGGAGTTGTATGGATGGATTTCTGGTTCACCCCAACCAAGTGCCACGACCGAGGATGCAGAAGAGCTGACAGCCGCATCAGGCACATTCCGCACGCAGAAGTGGACATCAACAGAGCACTACCATACCGACAGTCAGAAAGATGATGAGCCATTTGTCACTCTACCCTGTTCCATTAGCGGGCCCATGGCTCCAAATGCCATGGCCGAGTGAGCGAGAGCGTGTGCATCCGGTGTGCCTGTCTCCTGATGCGCTCGCCGGCGGTTCGTACTGACATGTCATTCCTCTCTTCTTGGTCTTGATCCTGTGTGAGCCCGACCGCCGTGTCTGGATAAACCATAGATCTAATCTAATTCCGGAGTTGGCTGTTGGTCATACGACGCGATGACACGAGGCAGGCAGAGCAGAGAGAACAGGAGACAGCACCCATGGCGCGGAACAAGAGCTGCGGAACAAATGTTTCAAATCGTCCCGCTTCCGGCGTGTTCTTACACGTACCCATTGTTTTCAGCTGTGGCCCCCCCCCACCTCGTTCACAGCGAACCGCGCGCTGCATACGATACAGCCAACGTGGCACACCCGTCCCAGCGAGAGCGGGAGAGAGAAGGAGAAGACGGAGGGCGAGGAACGCACAAGAGAGAGGCTGGTGCATTCGCACTGCAACCAGAGGGGGGAGATTCGAAAAACAATGCTTCGCACAGCAGGTCGAGCAATCCATCAGCAGTGCCGCCAGTGGGGGCCACAGGCGTCGAAGCCGCTCTGTGTGCGACATTTTTCTGCGGGTGGGGGAGACCGTCTTGTAGAGCTCAGCACGAAAGACGAATACGTCAACTTTCCCAGGTGAGCTTTTGGGCGCATGGACAACCGTGACGTAGAGACATGAGGAGAGTCCTCCGTCTCCCGTTGCCGAATCCATGATTCCGAAATTATACGGCACGAAAAACGCAGAAAACGTTCCGCTTCCCGCGGCACGCAGCCTGCAGCCTGCCTCTTCCATCCGCCGCAGTTGCCTGCATCTCTGCGCTTCCGCGGTAGAGCTCAAGTATCTAGGGCCTCAACGTACCAGGGGGCGCACTATGATATGTTTAGTCTGTTGCGGTGGTGCCAGCAGGTTGTTTGGTGGCAAGAGAAGAGAGACGATCCTTCTATTCATTCACGTCAGGCACAGCTACACTGCTGTGGCACGGTGTGCCAGGCGTACCGGCGTGGCGAGACGGTGGAACATACATAGTATGCATACAACGTTTGTGTTGAACCTTACCTCATCTTTCACCCATACCGTGCGAGGGGGGAGAGAAAAAACGCGAAGTGTAAACGATCGGATGAATCATTGTCATGTACCTCACAGTGCAATAACTGTATTTATTTTGGGAGGTTTGTGTAGAATACTTCACCCATTCGACTAATAGAAAAATGTTCCTGTTTCTTGTCCCGCTCCAAAGACGGGCGTCTTTCCATTGGTCAGCGCGGTCATGCTAACTAACAAACAACACACAGGAGAGAGACAGAGAGAGAGAGGGAGAGACAGAGAGAGAGAGGGAGAGACAGAGAAACAGCGGGGGGAAGAGAGAACGAGAACGACACACTGACCAACCGGTTAGACGGACAGGCAGACAGACAGACACCGAGAGCAAGATAGAGCGGGACAAAGAGCAGAAACAGGGTGCACCGCCAGACCGTCTTTGGACGGCCTGCTTCAGCCTTCCTATTTGTCTGTCTGTCCCATTGGGCGTGCGTATGGGCTCGTGTTGGCGTGGCTTCTCGGATATACATTGTTCCGGCTCTTGACCTACCTGCGGGGGGGGGGGGGGGGGGGGAAAC